CAAACATTACTGAAAACTTATGAAGATTTATAATATAAAAGTTTAAATTAATAAATCTTTAGCTGAATTAAATAAAAAAGTTATGACGACGATACTTCGAGAGAAAAATTAGATAAAGATGAAAAATGCAGAGACAAATTTAAAAAATGACCAATAATTCTAATCTATTAGAGAGGTACTCATGGACATTTCGTTTTGCTCGTACACGAAAGTTCGTGAAACGATTTGTGTGACACGTAAGAGCTAAATTCGTACGTCTTACATTTGGACCTTTTTATGAGATGAAAAAAACGAGCATTAGTTAGTGCAATTTAAAGAAAAAAAAATAATAATAAATGAAACAAAGGCAAACACGCGCAATCGTCAAGTGCGCTGTAAGGGCCTTATTTGCGAAAAGAGAAAAATTTTAATAAAATTACTAATAATTAGAGAAAAATTACGAAGAAAAGTGAAAGAAAAACACAAAGGGGATGCTCTCGATCTTTTCGCGACTGGAAGAGGAATTCCATGAAGAAAAAAAAAATTGATAAACGGGACGAACGCGCTCGCCACTCGCAAAGTCAATATATTGTATTATATTATGTAATATAATTATTGAAAAACTGTACACGCAAAAATCGTATTGAGTAGGCGTGAATTCACATCGATTATTTCTTACACTCTTGATTAGAAAGACAAAAAACACTCGATAGTAAACACGTTGAATAGATTATTTTAAAAATTAGGTCGACGACGTTTAAGATAAAAAAAATAGTAGTGGAAGTAAAAAAAAAAAGTAAACTTTACATAGGCTCCAATTTTTTCTAAATAATTCGATGATTTACACAATATCATATAATAAACATATAAAATGGTAACGATATTTCGCTAAACTACCCGAAGAAACCGTCAAAGCGCGGAACTTTTTGTATTCCGAAGGAGACGACAATTCTATTTTTTCTGAAAATGGATTCGACTCGAGCGTATGTACGCACTTGCTTGATACATTCGATGGCAAAGGATATTACATTTTTAAATAGCTTTTTTTTTTAATTGATACTTTTTGAAACCTTCTTTTCCTTGGATGCTCTACTTAAAATTTTTCCAATACCACGTACGTATAATGAAACGTTTGACTACAAAAATCCTCACCAATCCACGTGTTCGATGAACTTTGTGTGTCCATTCGTTCGCGCTGAAACTTACTGTTGTGTCGCTACGTAATAATCATTGTCGCAATCTGACGTTCGAGGCGGTTACACTAGCTTATTTTTATCGCGTGTTTTCGTGCTTTCAAATCAGCTGTTCGATACAACTACCCTCGAAAATCTTTCGCGATCTTTTAAAAATTAAAAAAAAAAAAAAAAACAATAATAAATAAAAAACGACGGAGTTTTTTAACATATCATAGAAGATCAGGTTTAACATTAGATAAATAGCTGAAGAAGATGAATGAAGAAAAAAAATAATAGTCAATAATTAATTGAGAACTAAAAAAAAAAATTAGCGAATTTCGAATTTCACTCTGACAGCACACAAAATGAATGGCATGAAGCGAAGATTCTTCGAGGCAATGAAGAGTGTAAAAAAAAAAAAAAAAATTATTATCATTGGAGAAGGAAAGAAAATTAAAGACAAAAATTCAAATAACTATGCCCTCTTTCGCGCGTACAGAGATGAGAAGAAGAAAATGGATAGCCGTAAATAAAAATTAAAAAAAATAAAAACATACCGAGTAATGTGTTAGGTGTTCATCTCTTTTGTAATACGTGTGATAAAGCATAATATAATGAATATTTGTAATTGCGATGATAATTAGTACGTGTGCCCGTGGCAAAGGATTAAGATCCGCAAGGAAAAGCTTAGAGGAGTAATAATACATACACACACATCCACAACACATGTACATGATTTACAAATTACAAAATGAAAAACTCGTCAACGTACAATTTTTGGTTATTTTTAATATATACGTATACGTATGCGATCATTTTGACATAAATAATTATAAAATCATCGCATATAATATGTATGTAAAGATTAAAAACAAAAAAACGTCCGGGGAAAAAAGTTGGAATAGTATGCGCGAGTAATGTAGTTTCATTGTGTATTATATATAATACGTGTGTTATATATAATTGTCCGTAGCTTGGCCATAGAGATGCATCGTCGTTTTTTCCCGGAGGGAGAGTTTAATCTTTTTTCTTCTTTTTTCTTAAATCCAACCGGGCCTCAGTAAGATTATACATAAATATACGCTACTAAAATATTTGTATATATTTTTATATACACGTACGTTAATCAAGCCCTCGGAAACAGAAGGCAAATTCAATGTAAAATGTAATTAACAACAAAAATGATCGAGACCCTATGACTTTTATTATTCTGTTGTCGTTTTTTATATGTATATGTAATAAAGTAATTTCGAAAACAAGTCCTAAGCGCGAAATTTGACGAAATGACGGAATAAACAAACAGAAAATCGTTTAATGTGACACGCCAAATATTGAATATGGCAACAAAAAAAGACGCGATTCACGAATAGAGATACTGGAGATTAAAGAACAAAAAGAATAGTGGAGGAAAATACTTGAGAATATGAGAGGAATGCAAATATAATAATATACACAACACTTTGAAGTATAATTACTTTTAAAAAATAGATTTGTATTTTTCAGTGTTGAAAAGTTTTTTATAGTCTTGTTATATTCTTGTCTAAATATTCTTAGGTTTTTTATGCTGTGACCAACTGTTTTTGAGTGTATGTGGCTGAATGCAGGGATGACTGGAGTATATACAAAATGGTTTTTCGTAATTCCAACAAACATTACTGACATGTGTCATTGTCTCAACGAAACCATGCAATCGAGATTACGAATATTCTTTCGTGTTATTCTTTTCCGTTCTGATTGTAGTATTGTCTATTTCACAAATACATACAAACAATCACACTGTACTATTTTATTCATCTGACGCTGTTTACCAACTAATGCTTTTTTTAACTACTTACTATTGTTTTTTATAGAGAAGCCGAAAGTTTTTACTGCCTGCAAAACGAGTGTCATTACCATTATAAGGGCTTATGATTCAAATGCGTGAGGTGTTTTGTATTTTTTTAAAGTGCAAATTAATTATGCTTTAATTAAATTTTTTTTAAATATTTGATATCAGTAAAATTTATTGTTGTATTTCATTACATGCATAAAAACTGGATACTTGACTATTTTTTTGCCATACGTGATTTTTTTCTATAAAATTTAACAATGAATTAAGTGAATAATTTTTATACACGAGACACAATTTTCTGTACATACAGTCAGTGGAGAAAAAGTATGAATAACTTTTTGTATCAAGATCCCAAAGATGAAGAAATTGCGTGAATTAGCATCAGTTGAGCATAATTTTTTTCA